TTGAACGAGGCTTGACTTGTCAAACAGTGGTGGATTTTTCTGGACCCCGGCGATTAACTTCTCCGCAACGTCGTCTGCCATTTTAAATGTGCGAGCCCTTAAATTAGAATGGATTCTGATTGGCTGTCAATGTTTTATCGTTCAACAACTGGAAAAAAAAAATTGTTACAAAAGTGATCCCAACGATATAGTTTCTCTATATCGTTATATAGCCAGGGTTCTCAAGTTTTATTAAAAGCTTGGAGTGAGATCACATGCGGTTAGGGGAGGAGCCCCAATGGAGCCCCGCCCCCACCCATCCCTGCCCCCCAATTTTACCCATTGTTCATAATTAACCAGCACAAATTGAAATTATAACAATTGGTAAATCTGATAAATGACAAAGCAATTCATCACATCAAATATAGCCTACTCTTTAATGTTATATTTCAAAATTACAAATATACAAAAATTACAAAAATTATAACAAATTGCTCCAAACAGTTTGGAAAAACAAATCTTTTTGCATTTTGAATGTGTCGAAATGGTATAATGATTTATTGTGTGGTGGGACATTGTGAACAAATGGACATATTAGAGTTTTAAGATGTTCGCGCGCGTCTATGTTGCCTAACGAACGCAATCTGGCCGAGAGATACGTGCTGGCGGCAGGAAACTTCACTTTGTGTGCCTGTGCCTCGTATACAACGTTATATAAAGCTTGCAGGACAACTTGGTTGGCATTGCCTTTTCAGCGTGAGAAATACACGGTGTGGCGTGTGAGCGTGTGAACTGGTTGAAACTCTGCTATTCTTTAATATTGAGAAACTATTGTGAAATATATCTTTATCGTAATAGTCCTTGGTGTGAACGGGCCTTAATATCGATCAGTATGGGAAAAAATATTGTGATCATATTTCTTGTAGGGATGCACGATGATATCGGGACAACATCGGTATCGGCCGATAAAAGCTTAAAATGACCATCATCGGCCGATATGAATATTTCTGCCGATGAGCCTTGCCGATAGGGTGGCATGTTTCCTATGCGCACGTGACGCGAACGAAGCATGAGCGCCAGCAACTTAAACTTCCAACTAGGGGTGTGCCGTGCGTCTCACGGTTTTTGATCGTGGACGATTAAAATGTCTCCACGATCTGCTTTTGAAGAAAAATCATATATCGTGCATTCTATCAGTTCAATTCTGACGCCTTCATCTCAACATACTGTACAACGCGACGTACATTCACATCACATCACATGTAAACGCAGAGGTAGAGTTACACTCACGGTCACGGGACACCGCAATTCACAAAAGTTCATTATTTGCATGTGCGTCAAAGTCTTGCTAGGTAAACATATCATTCACGTGCTGATGCGCTGTTCTAACATCCGCTTTTCTGAGCGCGTTACACCCGACGCTCACAGGAACTAAAAGCCTGTCACAGAGTCTGCATACTGGACTAATCTTTCGAGTCTTATTGCGCTGATACTGTCAAATACACACACGGTTTACATAAACAAAGTTGGTTATGTCTAAAGTGAAAGCAAACAGAGAAAATCTGCTTGTCAAATGCGTGTATATTAGACGCGTCGCGTGCAGTTCTTAAAGAGACAGTATAATATGCTGCCGCTTGTCCTTAAAGAGATACTGCACCCAGAAATACAAATTCTGTCATTATTTACTCACTCTAATGTTGTTCCAAACCTGTATTCATTTCTTTCTTGTGCTTAAATATACTATGGAAGTCACTGAAGTACAGCAACTGTTTGGTTAGCCACATTCTTCCAAATAACTTTTATAATTTCAACAGAAGAAAGAAACTTGAGAGAGTAAATGATGACAATTTAAATTTTGGGGAGAACTATCTCGTTAATGTTAATAAAACAACAAAACACAAAGAGGAAATCACTCACTGCTCTTGACTGAGAACTTTAATAGAAGCTTTAATAAGCTTTTTTTGCACTTAAAAAAAACACACAAATATATCGGTATCGGGCAAAATTAGTCTGAAAATATCGGCATATCGAATATCGGCCAAAATCCTATATCGTGCATCCCTAATTTCTTGCCATACAGCCCAGCCCTATCCTCAACACACCTGAACTCATTCTGACTAGTGTATGTCTCACTGCTTTCCTGCAAGCCCAAAACACGCCCTGTCTGCAGTTCAGATGGGATGGTCATAGTCTTGATGTGCCAGCAACTCCTTAACAAAAGAACATAATCTGTGATAATAGAGATAAAAAAAGGGCACAGCTGTAAAATACTCTTAATAATACTAAAATAGTAGGGAGTGACAAGCAATTATTGGTCTTTTGTCTTTATAAATATTACAGTACCTGAAAGAGATTTTTTTCTATCATAATTTTAAAGATAGTCATGCATTGATTTGTCAGCCATAAAGCTTCTGGTCATTGCTCATGTTCATTCCATCCAAAACAACCCTAGGAGCTGCTTGCAAACATAAAACCTTTCAAATGTCATTTCATTAAAGCAAATGGACAGGCACTAAGATTCATTCATCCCGAGTATGTGATGCCATCGGACATGCTGAGAGCGGTACGACCACACAAAGGATTGAAAGAGGAGTATACACTGACATATAAACACGCCATGTGTAGCCATCATCAAAAGATTGTCTGGAATGTGTTGTAGTGCCTGACAGATCATAATTAATATGAAATGCCAGCAATAATCTGCATAAGTAAAGCTATTTTGGTCATGTGAACCTTGCCATTTGAGGCATCTGCATCGCAGGGGCCATTATCAGGGCCGACGATTCAGCGCGGCACGACACATGAACTCAGCGCTGCAATTAAACTGTCTGTTGTTCGAAGGCAGCAGGCGGCTCGACCATTCACTTCCAAGTTTAAAACCTGTTCAACCTCTGTCTTTGTTTGCACTTCACGACAAGAGAAAAGCAGCAAAAAAAATAATTGTGCTCTCTTGTGTACCCGCCATAAAAGTCAGAGGAAATGTTTATGGCTGACAGATGCTAAAGCTAGCTTGCATTTTCCCCTTTTTCCAGACACAAGAGCTCCTCAGCTATGGATGCCCTAGGGTTAACCCTCCTTCTGCGTTTCCATGACAACGGAGGGCAGAGAAAAAGAGAGGAAGTCAGATGGAGGAGAGTTATGCCCCGACACACGGCAGGACGGAGCGAACAGCAGGCTGCGTTAAAGAGAACCGCACGTCCACATTCCTGTTCTCCCTCAGCCCCCATCGTACGAGCCGACCGACCGAAAACCAACAAGAATACATGCGATCTGATCTCAAAGACCATGCTCTCAGCTATCTTATGAAGGGTCCCAAATATGTAATATCCAATTAAAATAATCTAAACAATTATGCATTCATAACCTTTTAAACAGTATATGCTATATTTTTATCATATCACATAGTTGTTTAATTACTCAAATGCTCAAATTCTTATGCTATTCCGAACACAGCTACAATGTCAGAAAATCTACTAGATTGCAGTCAGCAAGATTTCTAAATGTGTTTGAAAGAAGTCTCTTAGGGTGTTTTCACACTGGGCAAGCTTGCTGCGGTCCGAGTCCGAGTGAGATTCACCAAGGCTGTATTTCTTTGATCAAAAATACAGTAAAAGCAGTAATAATGTATTACAGAAATATAACAATTTAAAGTGCCCCTATTATGCTTATGTAATATAGCGGTTTATGAATGCAAAAGGTCTGCAAAGTTTTAAAGATCAAAGTGCACGACAAATAAAGTTATTGTCTCCTAAAAGAAATAATTAATTCTGAACTGCCGAAACGAGTCCTCAGTAATTCCAGTCTCACTTCCTGTTGCATACTATCTAACAATACAACAAATTTGCATAATGCCAGCCTACAGTTTTTAATGGCTGCCCACAAACAACATATTTGAACTTTTCTACCCTCAAACACTGTAGTTGTAACTGAGACAGGAAGAGTTTGGTTTGTGTTGTTGACATGTCAAGAAGACACTGTTTTAAGAGCTGTGATTCCACGTTTCATCTGTTCATATCACTAAGCACTGAGGATATCTCTGGAGATGAAATTCAGATATGGTAATAGGCGTTTCATTTTTGACACGCACTGTAAGCGGTAGACCAATCACAACAGATCACTGGACCAATCAGAGCAGAAAGGGGTTCTCCTAACAGAAAGGAGGGGTTGATGTTACTGAATCTGGTAATAAAGGTCAAAAGTGTTTTTTGACCTTGGATGCATGAAAATCTATTGTAGGAGACCTCCAAAACAAAATTAGGAACCTTTAAAATAACTGTTTTCTATTTTAAAATTCCAGCATCATTACTCCAGTCTTCAGTGTCACATGATCCTCCAGAAACATTCTAATATGCTAATCTGGTGATCAAGAAACATTTATTATTATTATTACCATCATGATCAAGGGCTGCCCCCTAATAGTTAGAAACGTTCAAATTAAACATTTTAACTTGGTCAGTCACAGAAAAAAAAATCCACAGGAAGCGGAGAAGTCCACAGTTGTGGTGGCAGACCGTTAACAGCTGGCCCTTGTAATGTCATGCAGGAAATCCAAACGTTCACCTATCATTCATCGACCTCAAATATGGCTTATTTAAAACATGCAAGTAGTAACCACTTTACATGGTCACTCGCTTTAACTTTTGCATATCCAAGTGTTTTTGGTCATACAGATAAGAAACTGTAAAGGGTCTACTTTTATTTGTGTACACTTGTATTTGTGCTTTTGTAAAATGGAGTGTGTCACAAAAATGAACCAAAACTCAGTATGCTACTTGCCTCACCGACATAAGAATCGAAAGCAAATACTCTCTGATAATGTAATCCATACGAAAGGTGCATTTTTCTCTAAAGGCGTGTCCACTAGACTGAGGGAATAGCGAGTCAGCGTTGTCAACTTCTTTGCAGCTGACACTGATTCAGAACTTTTTTCGTTACTTTTGCGGCAAGCTTTATGTGCGCTTGAGTGCGGAATAGGCTATATAACTGTAGTAGTGCATGTCAGACTTTCAAATTCAACTTACCTGGAATCTTTTCCCAGGTTTGCCGGGTACAGAAATGTTTGATTCCCCTCCATTTCCACAACACATTTTGTGTTCAGATCCTTTTCTGTTGGGATAAAAAAAACACAGGCAGTTTACGAACCACAACTATGAAACAAACAAATATTTAAGTGGCTGTTGTGCTTTATCATCTCAAAAGATTCAGGTTGTTGGAACATTAACGGATCCAAAGCCACTGTCGCTCTAAACACGTTTGTCCTATCTCTGCCCTTAGATGAGACTAATAAGACAATCTTATGACCTATTGAGTTCCCAGCCATCCTGATTATCCAGAACAAAAGCTGTGAATCTCCTGCTATTGATTTCAACCCTGAGGACTGAATTCAGACCAGCATTCTGATACAGAGAGTTTTCCTGATATCACCCATCACTATTCTCACAGCTATGGAAAGAGCTCAGGGCATACAAGTTTTACAGACCCTGAGGCCATCCTTAAAAATATTTTGGTTTGCAGTAACAGCAAAAAAAAAAAAAAAAAAAAGGGTCGGTAGGTAGGTCTATATATATTTTTTTCAAGATTCAATGTAAAAAAAAAAAGGATAATTTTGGTCATGGTGATTAGGTCGGTATGAATTTAAACAAATTTGCATATCGTGACGTCACTGACTGGGTCTTCAACCCCCATGCCTTCGGGCGCACCATTGCGAACCTCATTCTGATACAGGTTATAGACCACAAACAATTTGAAATCTTTGTAAAAAAAAAAAACATATTTATTGCATTAATTCCAGCTGCATTCATTTGGAAAAAAATAGGCAGAATCAAAAGAAAAAAAGGAGCCACTAGATTTCAATGAAAGTGGATTTTCAGAGGGAAACAAATAAATTAAAATGACTAATCTCACCAGCGCCGCGCCGACCAATAAAACAGCGCGTTTGGCACCATTCGTTTACATTTGACCCATACTGTTACAAGCCCCCTTTCTGGTCTAGGGGCAGGAAAGGAGGGTAACAAAAAGTTGCAGGGAGAGAGTGAGAGATTTGACCCATAAACATCTGCTATTATTAACGGAAATCAGTGTGGTCAAATAGCTAGGCGCATTGTAGGAAACTATAGGCCGATTAAGTAGTCCTGACATATTATGGAATGGTCGATTTTCTTTTGTGCAATTTAGTACATGTATGGGATGTGCTGTTTTATTGGTCAGCGCGGCGCTGGTGAGATTAATTCGCGCCGCTCTGACCATTGGCTGGCGCAAGCAAACACTTCTCCTGCGCTGTCGAGTCTGTCGCGCTCGCGCGTCTCGGTCCATTGAGCCACGCAGATTACAAGTCAGCGCAGCGCGAACTCTGTAACACACCGCGCCGTTTCGTCCCCCTTTCGGTGTGTTTGGCTTCCCACACTTATGTGTGTTTGTTTGTCAGAGCCTGCAGTTGCTGTGTGACGCGCGTTCGCGGTGGGCATGTCATGACGAGCTGGACGGGCTCCGAGAAAAGGCCGTTAACATCGATTCCCTATTTGACCATTAAGAATTTCGAATAATGAGCGACTAAATGTAGGCTCATACAGACGTATTTCACAAGCAGCCGCGCCGCAGCCATCATCACCGAGCGCGAACCATTGACAGTGAATGAAACGAAGCGAACGCACAGGCCATAGTGTGACATGCGTAAACCAATGGTGTAAACATAATCATAATAGATGACGCCACGGGTTTTTATTTAAAAGAAAGAACGTAGCCTACGCAATTTATATTCACAATACTTACTATAATAAATGTATATTATTTTATTGCATTTGTATTAGTTGTTTGAAGAGTAAAAAAAAAATCGGTCGGTCTTAATGCAAGTTTACAACCGGCAAGTCGGTCGGACTAAAAGGGGAAAAAAATAAATAATTGGGTCGGTCCAAATTTTACAGGGTCGGTCGGGTTACGGCAAACAAGAATATTTTTAAGCATGGCCTGATATTGCCTCAGATATTAATGCCATTTAAGGACAATCAAATTATAATCTCCCTTGACAGGCTGTTAACTACATTAGCAAAAATCTGTGAAACTGAAGCTATGATACTACACATGCTAGATGCCATAGAGGAATCTTATTAACCCTCTGGGGACCAGAGTGTTTTTGGGGCCCTTGGGATGTTTTGACATGCACTGACATTTGTGCTTTTTTCAGTTATTTATAAACATGTTAATGGCAAAGGTGTAAATTCACTCTATATAGCACAAACTTGGCTACCATGAGATCTGAGCAACATGTATGTACATGTTTGTATTTTTAATAGAATAATGTTTATGCGTAGTTATTGAAAAAAATAAAAATGAAAGTTGCTGAAATAAGACCACAAAACACATATTGATTATTTCTTCACAAGACTTTTGAAAATTGTATCACATAGCCTAGAATATTTGCTCCAAAACTATGTGAGAATCATCCTGACTACTCATTCAGATAAGTCAATAAAGTCTTTTACATTTTTAATGACGTGTTTTGTTTGAGAAAGCTTTATGCAGGAGGCGTGGTCTCTCATTAATATATGTGGAATTTCACACCTGAGAAAGACAAAGACCCTCCCCATAATGGCCCTATTAGGTGCTATCAGGCCATATCATTACAGGAGCCTTGCACAAAGAATGAGGAGATTTAAAAAAGAATGGCTTTTAGATTGTTTGGATTTATATAAGGAAAATAGAGGGTGCATAAGTCTGGACACTTCTATCACACACCCTTCACCATATGGTTTTATTTCAGTTCAAAGTTCAAAGTTAGAGTTGGAAACATCTTGAAAAGAAAATTGTCTTTCTCCATAAATGTCTTAGTTTGATCATACATATTTCAAAGTTGAGGATTCATTATTTTTATTATAGCTTGAACAAACACTATAACATCTTAGTTGATTAGTTTATTGACAAAACATACTATATATTTAACATATGAGCAGAAACTCCTAAAAAAAGCTTATTTGATGTCTATTTTAGAGTAAAAACTTTATCCAAAACGAGTCAACGAAATGTTGTCTGTTATTTAGTCTGTAACAGTGCGTATCTGTGCGTTCATTCATTCATTCATTCATTCATTCACACACACACACACACACACACACACACACAAACATGATTCACATTTAACAGTACGCAATTTTTCCGTTTACAGACACTACGTTATTCTATATCGCGATTAGAACAAAGCACTTGCAAAAAACACTTACTTCTCAGCTGAATCTGTTCATCCTCGCAGTGAAAATAAACCCAGTGGTAAATGTCCCAGGATTGTTCCTCATATAGCCGCGCAAGACGACAGTAGATTAATCTGACTAAAAAATAATGTGTGTTTTCAGAGTTTATGGGCGTTAACGCGTCTCAATGTGTTGCTTCACATATTTGCGTTTGAATAGCGCGTGCTCTCTGTGGGCGTGTCACATTACCAGGGATAATCAGCTGAGAGAACGATAATGAGACGGGCTGACACGTCTCTCTTTTTATATAGATGACATAAACGGAGAATATTAATTTTAGTTTTGAATCGGATCATTTAAAAGTACAAACTCAAACGATTTAAAAGATATATTGCTTATGGCTGGGTGAATAGTATTAGCTGAGTTGTGTTGAAGATTAGAGACGTGCTCCAGAAAAAAAGTTCACGGTGACTGAGAGGCAGAACGCACACCCTGTTTATTTTCTTTATTTTACAAAAGCACAATATTTTATTTCGATTGTATGTGGGCACATAAAAAAGTATACATTTAACAGATTATTTTATCATATTTCTTAACTCTATATGAACAGAAATGATGGTAGTACTTTAAGTCTATTTTTCTGCTATGTGAAAAAAAACGAGCAAAACGCGCCCGCGCGTTTCTGGTCCCCAGAGGGTTAATGGCATTTTATCAATGTTTTTTTTTTTTTTCAGCTTGAACCAAACAATTCCAAATCTGGATTTATCCTAAACTGAAATGACTTCACTGTGAAAGTGCAATAAACTCATCAACAATGACCCATTTTCATCAGCAAAATATACAAAATCAAACTAACTATGAAGTCAAATGATATATTTCTGGAGTATAATTTACAGTAAACCGTAAGATAGTCAATTGATCCCAGGAGGGATACTGTACTTAAATCAGATAAAGTATGATGGCAGGTACAGACCCAAAAAGTAAAATATGATTATAGACAAAAAAATAACTATTACAATTCATTTGAATACTGATTCTGATTTTGAATCTGCATTCTAGTTTCATATCTCAGGCTCCACAGTTTTCACATGCTAAAATAATTAAAATTAAATTGAATATTTCATGTCAAATTATTAGTTTATTTATAAAGTAGCCATGTATTAAGTGGGATAATGTATGACCACCATGCTTATTTTGTAACACGGACCAGGAGACCAGAAAATATGGCATTCTAGGCTATATTGTCAATGGACTTATGCCTGCGGCTGCATGCATCGCATAATTCCATTTGAAACATTGGAATAATTTGATTTAATTTATGAAAAAATTGACTAAGTTGAATAGTTGGCAAACAATTATTTAAATAAATAAATATACAATATTTACATATGTAAATAAGTAATGAATAATAATAATAAATAGAATGACAAAAAATAGCATGAATATTGAAGATGGAATTCAAAACATTAAAGTTTAAAAGAAAACACATTAAACATGATCAAAAGATGTAGTAAAAACACAGCATTAGCTTAACTGGCAAGAAACTCTCTCACACTGGCCATGTCCCATCGGGTCACCCTTAATGTTGAGCCCTGGGATTGGCTCAGGTCTCACTTTCAGCTTGGCCAGAGGGACAGCAGGAAGAACATGCAACAGCATTCCCTCAAACACTTTCTCAGCAGCAGACTGTTGGTAAAAAGGCTTTCTGTCCAATAAATGGAGACCAAATAAAGTTTTGTAGTTCAGTCAGCTGAAAGTTTATGATGCACAGACTAATGACAAACACAAGGCATGGCCTAATAGCAACACACACCCAATACGACAGCAGGCCAAAGCATGTCTGAAACCAAAATCTCCTGCTGACAACAACAGGGAAGTGGAAAGCATCTGCAGCTGACTCAGAAATCCTTGGAAAGGATGCACTCCGAAGCCACAATAGCTGTAACAACTTCCTGTTAGAGCAGGAAACAACTGGTTTCCTCCCACCATTGGTGGCCAATGTCCAATAAGGATCCCCATCTGGATTTACCACATCTAGTAGCCATTCCAAAAATCTGAATTTCCTGCATTATGTCACTCAGGTAACAGAGATAAGCACATGTAATTTTGGCAACAGCCACGAACTGGAAAGACTGACAAAATCCTGAACACAATAACACAAAGTCCAAGCAAATATTTATCATCTACAGTAAACAAAAGCAGCGACAATGCCCTGAAGCACATTTCCATAATTATTTGCTTTAGTTTATGGAAGTAAAACAATTAACAATGCATGGTTCAGTTAGTAACATGAAACTATAATTGCATTCTTCATGCCATGCAAGAAGGCAGTAAGGTGAGGTGGACTCAACTAATGTGGGGAAATGGTAAAACATTAACTAGTTAAACCTCCACATCCCTTTATCCACCTAAAAGGTTTTGTGAAGTTCTCTTTACATATTAGGACTGAATATGAACATTTTAGAAGGACCCAAACTCATTTGGCCATGGGAACCTGCTCGGTTATGCAACGTTGGCAAATAGTCCATTCAAACTCCCTTCCTGCCTTTGTCCAAAATAGAGAGAGAAAGAGAGAGAGAGTGCAAGTAAAACAGAAAGTTAAGTGTCATTTAGTCTTTCAAATACAATGTCTATATGTCATATGACAGAAATAAAGTCTGAAAAATCTTTGAATTTGGAATATTACAGAATTGAGGGTCCCTTTAACAGTTCCAACATTACAAACGAAGACTGGGAATTGTTCAAAAGGATATTTATGATTCGGGAAAGCTCACACAGGCTGTCAGCCGATGATCAGCGCCTGAGTCTTGTGACTTAATGTTACGCTCCAGTGGGACACGTGACCACATCCCCACAATGTAGCAAATATTTCACGCTTCGATGGATTTACCAAGACACATGTTCTCCCACGGCAAGACCTGCTTTAATGTCAGCCGTTCGTGTGAGAGACATGCATGCAAGTAATCGTGCAAATAATCTTGAAGAAGAAAAAGTGAAAAGAAAAAAAAAACCAAGCATGTATGACACTAATGGGATGTCCTCAGATAAAAAGATGGATGGAGAGAGACAGAAAGTTTTATCATATTTACAGACTTCCCCACTGGTAGTCGACAACTCGCAGTTTGGCATGTTATAATTTCAAACAATTATTCTATAATTGTCATCTAATATGTAATTACATGTATAGATATTTTGCACTTTTAAAAATACACTTGTCACCCATTTAAATTAAACAATTAAAGAATTTTATTAAAATGGCAAAAAAAAAACTAAAATCCTGATGTTGGATGTTAATGTACCTAGTGAGATAGATAGTGAGATAGATTTAGATAGATAGATAGATAGATAGATAGATAGATAGATAGATAGATAGATAGATAGATAGATAGATAGATAGATAGATAGATAGATAGATAGATAGATAGATAGATAGATAGATAGATAGATAATTGTGATATATCAAGTGACAGAGCTGAAATTCAACTCACCTCTCCGGTTCATGGGCCGGACCCGAACCGCCACCTTCACATTGGAGTTGTTCAAATTAGAGTCGCCCATGTTGTATGTCGATATATCCACGAGAAGACGTGTTATAAAACGACCGAAAAGCTTCCAGACAGCCTCGAGTTCATAAAATAAAACTCATCTAGATATGCCTGTCACCGGAGTCCCGGATAATTCGTGATATCTGAAGCTTGTCGTGTCCAAAAATGGTCAGCATCGTCCTTAATGGGTTGCTTTTCTGCGTTTTGAACGGCACAGTAAAAACATTGTCGTTTTAATAATGTAAGAGAAAAGTTTATTGGAATCTCTTGACAGCTGGAGCTTTAGTTGGATCAAAAACAGAGTCGAGAGCAAAGCCAACTCCCTCCTGGATTCCTGTCACATTCACACTGGGTCAAACTGCAAATGTCAAGACTTTTGTCCAGCAGGAAACCAAGCAACTAATAAGTAAGCAGGGTTTAAATAATTCATGCCCGGCTGTGACAGTAACTAAGTTACCACATTTTGCTTTAACATGGACGTTTAAAAAAACCGTTGCATTTTAAAAACAAACAAAAGCAAATAAATAATATATCCCTGAACTATTTAAACAGTGGTTTAAACTGGGTAAACTGCACTACATGCAGATATGTAATGTTATAGTGTCTATCCAATAATATTAAACAAATAAGATAATATTTGCAATACACAGGACTATTAGACTAATGTTAGGCTGCCAAATGCTGATTTGTCAATGCAGCACTTTTACATAATGGCAAACAAACCAGTTTAAGACAGAAAAAGACTGAATGTAAATGTCAACGACAGTAAAAAACGTAAAAATCCTAATCTGGCAGTTATTTCCGAAATCTGATCGCAAATTGTTGATTAAATGGTAGGAGATCCCAAAGTATCTGTTGCGGTTTTGTTGAATTTTGGTTTCTTTTCAAGCTGGATCCAACTTCATTAAAACAATGGTGCTGCTCTACATTCCCATCCAGCTCGGTAAATCTTCAGGGTTAATATCCAATATCACGGAGACAAGACACGCGTATTTTATAGAATTAGCAAACCCAAAAAAATGAAGACTGAAAAGATTTAAGGACTCCAGCGTGGATGTCACGGTCGTAATAAGGAGCCGCTTTATTTCATGGCTGAGAGCAGCATGAAGCCAGTGATGTTAACGGTGATCTATGACGCCCAGCGGAAGTTCGTCTTTTAAAGTAAAAGTCCCTAAAATAATAACAAAATTAAAAAATATATATTAATAAAATATATGCATACATCCACCAATAATTATAATTAGTATTATAAAATTAATAAAAAATCAACAGTCCTATAATAATTATTATAATTATTGTTGTGATTATTATAATTTTCATAATTAATGAAGTAGTAGTCGTACTATAAGCCTTTTTCATTAAATGTAGATTTTTGTTGAGACACCTTAAAATTCTGCCATTAACTGTTACATCCATTTGCGATCCGCTGATCTCCTGGAACAGCCTTTCAACCTCCGATGAGGAAGAGCTGATAATGTTTGGAAGTTCGTGCCATTGAGATGAGGTCAGGTATATTTCGGTATTTTCCCCATTTAACTCCATCTTCTTCGTAGTTTACAGACATTTTTAAAATGATTCTTATCCATATAAAGTTGGATATTCCGAATGCTCACATAAAAGAACAGCAGAATAGCTTTGGGAATAGAGGTTCTTCGATATTACTTATTTTGAGGAGGGTAAACACTGCCAACATATGTTGTACTTATACTGGTCTGGTAGCACAAATAAGTGGTTTGAAACCCGTTTAACGGTTCCTAATCATAATATTAGGTCTAGTTCTTATTTGTTCATGTTGTGCGACACCTGCTGGCCATAAGCACATTGAACCACGCATCCCATACAAATAGAAAGAGCAGATAGAATATTTTAAATATTTATATATCTTTTTTAATATATTTATTTGCTTTATATATATTTTTACAACTCATTTTGTCAGCGTCATTATTCAGGTGTAGGCTAGCTAAATTGCTGCTGACGAAGGCGGTGCTGTCACGTAGGTTGTTATTTTTTCTCAGCGCTGTTGAGATGGGCAGTCTATGGACCGATCACAGTCGTTTGTAATGACTGGTTATAAAAATATTTGTTTTATTTGTATGTCGGATACCAACAGAAGAGGCTTTTCTATAATGTAGATTTAAGGTAATATTTATTTGAGATAATGATTTGTCACAGTTGACTGCATGTAATACTTTTATGTCCCACTAGAGGATGCTGAGTTCTCAAATAAAACCACCCACATATGGGGGAAAAAAATAATATGGAAGTCAATGGTGCCCCACAACTGTTTGGTTACCCATATTTTTCAAAATATCTTCTTTTGTGGACAGCAGAAGAAAGAAATTCATACAGGTTTGGAACAACTTGAGGGTGAGTAAATGACAGAATATAAAATGTTTGGGTGAACTATATCGTTTTAATGTTGTACATTAGCCATAAATCACTATTATTAAATTACTATTCACTTATATTAAAACTATTTAGCATTTTGAAATGTGAGAAAAGAATTATATTGTCAAAAAGTTCTAAAACAGCTTGGTCTAGATTTGTCACTAAGTTTGCTTGAAGCTGAGTCACTGTTCTTGTACAATCACACTGACTGCACTTACAAGAGTACGTTGTCTGTGACTGAAATGTCATGGTCCACCCTATACATAAAGGTTGAGAAATTTTAATTTGACTGTCCTTTAAGTAAAAGAAAAAGGTTGTGCGCACATATTCATTCATCAATGTTGCAGTGTAAACGTGTCTGCTCAAGAACATGGAGAAACCCCAACACAATTAATACAGCTGAAATGCTAATACAATTTGACGTTCACTGATTGTATCATTTGTTTAGAGTTGCCGCAATTGTGCAATTATTGGCAAAGACCCTATTAAAGTCTAAATTAGAGTTAGATCAGCTTACTGAACAAATCACATGCATTAATCAAATGTAAGCAAAATTCCACAGCAAAATTGAATCCTTGTGTTTTTTTTCAGGATCTATGACTAAATCATTGCAGTCTGGGTACATACAGTGCACTTTGAAGCTTGGTAATTTAGTGTAAATGTTAGAGCGTGAGGGGTCTGACGGGGCCTGAGAGGGATCTCCTGTGATCTGTGTGGCTACAAGAGGAGGGGCCTTCCAGGGGAAAGGGCATCTGCTTTGAATCCCACCACGCGGGCAGCCTACACCCCACTGCTGTGCTTTCGCCTCCTATCAGACCTGAAGATACTATTAGATAAGATCAGAAAACCACATCCACTTCAGACCAATATTAATGAGCTCCTTTCCATTGCATATGGGTAAATATTATGCATATGGGACACTATGGGTAAATATTTGTGTATTGAATAAGGTTAGGCAAATCGTAAGGTCAAATGTGTGTTAAAAAACATAAAAGATTCATGGACAATAAAATCTGTGAGGAAATCTTATTGTGTACAAAATTATGATTTTTCTCAGTCGCTTTGGTATGTCTCGAATCATCCTTAACATTTGCAAACCAGTAAGTGTATTTCTCGAAACAATTCGTACAAACATCACCACACAATGGACTACCTGCAAAAGACTGTAACTTTCTCAATATCATTAGTTCATCTCTCAAAAGTAAGTATTTATGTCAATGAACACATCAGTGCCATCAGAATGACAAGTCCTTGTGTCATTGTTCACAAGTCAAAATGTTTAGCCACGTTGTCAATATAGTGTATTTTCAGATGTAAACTATGGCAATGATTTTGATGACAATGATTGAAATTGCACAAGACTGCCCTTTTATCTGTATGGCATGCATCAATTTTAACAGTACAAATTGACACATTACTGTATATATGTGGGATACTGATTGCAAGAGACTGGACAGGATTCACAGTGACACTTTTACTGTTGGCCTGTCAACAAATTACAGTACAATGTCATTGTTATATATAAAAGTAAAAGACAAGACTGTATATACTGCATATAGTGTACATATAATATAAATTATTTTTTCTCAGTTGCTTTGGTGCATTTCTCAGATCCCAACTGAAATTTTTAAAACGACTTTAAATCATCTAGTCACTTGTGCACCTCATAAAAGCAATTTCTAATTTTTTTAAAAATTCCAAATGCTTAGCTACAACATTGCAATGTATTATATACAGTACAAGTGTCTGCTGTTTCCTACATTATCAATTGCTTATGGCATGTTGATCAAAATATATAGTCTTACCCCGCAAAACATTTAGGCATTAGTTCATCGCATAAGTCAGTCAATGCAAAATGGTTGAACTATAAACTGTCAAGCATATTTTCTATACATTTTTATTAGACTTTTTTTTTGTAAATGTGTCCTGAATTGATGAATTGCAGGGGTGAATTTTGAATTTCACTAGTGATAGGAAGGAAATGTAAAAGGCTAGATCAACCAATAATCAACCAGTTCTCTAAAAGAGCTCAGAGGTGCATCTCATGAAGCTTCATTTGGCAAGCATAGACAGAGCACAACAGTGTTACAAATTCTGACAATGGAAGAACAACAAGGAAACAAACAGGGTCAACAGCTGGGAAGAAGAAGAAGAAGGGTACGGAGACAAAACAAGAAGAGGTCAAGATTGTAGACACGTTTCTGATTAAATCAGGCCCACTATTGTGGACCATGGCTACGATGTTCTACAAACGTTTGAATGATTGAGGACATGAATGATTTCCCAGCATTCAGCTGCACCTTTCGACCTGCCTCAGCCATTGTAAGGTCCTGATTGAGGACATGGTCCACAATAGTGATCCTTATTACATCAGAAACGTGTCTACGTCATTTGCCTTATCTACCTCTTCCTCTGTTTTGCCCCCCAACCTTTCTCCCACATCCTTACTCCTCTTCTTCTTCCCGGCTGTTAACCGTGTTTGTTTCCTTGTTCTTCCATTATAAGGAATTGCAACTGTATTGTGCTCTGTCTTTATTCTTTCTAATTGAAGATTCGTGACATGCATCTCTGAGCTATTTTAGAGAACTGATTGATCGTTGGTTGATCTAATGCTGTACATTCTCCTTCATTAGTGAAATGCAAGATTCATCTGCACAATTCACTTGAGCAAATCAGGACACATGAACAAAAGTCTAATAGAAAAGTAAATATATGTGACGCATTATGACTAGCTCAATCATTTTGCATTTAATGACATGAGATGAACTACTGCCTAGATGTTTTGAGAGGGAAGACTATATTTTACAGAGAACCAGTATAATACATTTTGAGCAACATAACATAAGCAGAATGGGCTATTTTGACTTGGGTCACCTAGCAACGACCAACAACACTCTAGTAACCGCATAGCAATGCCCTAACAACATTTAAGAACAGCTTGGCAACCACAACAGAATGGCAACCAATCACAAAACTCTAGCATCATGGTGGCTACATTTCGACACATCCAAACATCTAATTAGAAAAATGTACAAATATATTTTGTTTTTGCGTACTGCAAGCTAGCTATTCACTGAGTTTGTTTTTCCTAACATTGTTTTTCCACACA